TAATTACAGTTGTGGATGATTAAATTGTATATTCCTAAACCTCTGACTAGGTTAGGTGGGGATGGATAGTCTAGCCATTTATTGAATAATAAAATTTTACAAACTATTATATCTATCTGATATGTACCATACCAAAGCCCGCATTGGTCATCTGGTGACGTCATATATAGTTTGAAAAGTCAGGTGGTGTGGTACCTTAACACTTATACGCTAATGGCCAGCAATACCATATAACTATAATGAGGTCGCTTTTCGTGATGTCACTAAACAAGAACAACTGGTCTGTAGAATGTATTTGTTTGTTATATAATAAGTTAGTTTAGAATGGTTTGAAATGGATAACAGAAAATATGAGCGAAAATACGAGCCAATGTAGTTGAAAATCGACTCTGATGAAGCACAGAGTACAGTTGAGGTATTAAGCCTGATTAAGAGTTGGCACTAATGTGTGAACCTCCTAGGATCCGCATTTAACACGTTGGCGAGAAGCTTTTGAGCTCATTGACGCCTTGCACCGCATTAGGGATGATGTCAGAAAAGAAGGTAACTGCAGAAGGCCATATTTCAAAACATGAGGAGCTTGCCTCCTCCTACACTCCACTATCCCCTCCTCCTACACACTACCACACCCCTAATCCTACACACCACTACCCCGTCCTCCTACACTCCACTACCCCCCCTCCTGCAACACGCCAATTCCCCCTCCTCCTACACTCCACTACCCACCTCCTCCTACACTCCACTACTCCCTCCTCCTACACCCCTTTACCCCCTCCTCCTCCTACACACTACTATACCCCTCATTATACACAACACTACCCCCCTCCTCCTACACTCCACTACCCCCTCCTCCTACAACTCCACAACCCCCTTCTCCAACACTCCACTACCCCCTCCTTCAACACTCCACTACCCCCTCTTCCTACACTCCATTACCACCACCTTCCTACACACCACTACCCCCTCATCCTACACTCCACTACCCCATCCTCCTACACCCCACTACCACCGCCTCCTACACCCCACCACCCTCTCCTCCTACACTCCACAACCCCCTCTTCCTACACACTAATTCCTCCTCCTACACTCCACTACCCCCTCCCCCTACACTCCAATTCCCCCTTCCCTTACACTCCACTACCCCCTCCTCCTACACACTACTACACCCCTCATCCTACACTCCACTACCCCCCTCCCCCTACACTCCCCTAAACCCTACTCCTACACTCCACTACCCCCTCCTCCTACACACTGCCACACCCCTCATCCTACACACCACTACCCCCTCCTCCTACACTCCGCTACCCCCTCCTCCTACACACCACTACCTCCTCCTCCTTAACACTAATACCCTCTCCACCTTCACACCACTTCCCCCTGCTCCTACACACCACTACCCCATTCTCTTAATCACCACTACCCCCCCTCCTCCTAAACTCCACTACCCCCCCCTCCTCCTACACACCACTTCCCCCTCCTCCTACACACCACTACCCCCTTCTCTTGATCACCACTACCCCCCCCCCCTCCTCCTAAACTCCACTACCCCCTCCTCCTACACACCACTACCCCCTCCTCCTACACTCCACTACCCCCCTCCTCCTCCACACAACTACCCCCTCCTCCTACAATCCACTACCCTCTCCTCCTATACTCCAATTCCCCCTCCTCTTAAACTCCACTACCCACCTCCTCCTACTCTCCACTATCCCCTCCTTCTACACACTACTACACCCCCATCCTACAATCAACTACCCCCTCTTCCTACACACCCCTACCCCCTCCTCTTACACTCCACTACCCATTCTTCTACACTCCACTTCCCCTTCCTCATACACACCACTTCACCCTCCTCCCAAACACTAGTACACCCCCCATCCTACACACCACTAATCCTTCCTCCTACACACCACTACCCTCTCCTCCTACACTCCACTACCCCCTCCTCCTACACTCCAGTATACCCTTTTCCTACACTCCACTACCCCCTCCTCCTAAACTCCACTACCCCCTTCTCCTACACACCCCAATCCTCTCATCCTACACTCCACTACCATCCTCCTCCTACACTCCACTACCCACCTCCTCCTACACTCCACTACCCCCTCCAACTACACCCCACTACCCGCTCCTCCTACACACTACTACACCCCTCATCCTACACACCACAATCCTCTCATCCTACACTCCACTACTCCTTCCTCCTACACTCCACTACCACCTCCTCCTACACACTACTACACCCCTCATTCTGCACACCACTATCCCCTCCTCCTACACTCCACTACTACCTCCTCCTACACACCACTAACCCTTCCTCCTACACACCACTATCCCCTCCTCCTACACTCTACTACCCCCACCGTCTACACTCCAATTCCCCCTCCTCCTACACTCCACTACCCACCTCCTCCTACACACCACTACCCCCTTCTCCAACACACTACCACACCTCTCATCCTACACACCACTACCCCCTCCTCCTACACTCCACTGCCATCCTCCTCCTACATTCCACTACACCTTCCTCCAACACACCGCTACCCCCCTCCTCCTACACATGACTAACCCCTCCACATACACACCACAACCCCCTCTTCCTACACTCCACAACCCCCTCCTCTAACACACCACTAACTTCTCTACACATCACTAACTTCTCTACACACCACTACCCCCCCCCCCTCATCCTACATTCCACTTCCCCCTCCTGCTACACTCCACTACCCCCTCCTCATACACTCCACTAACCCCTCCTCTTACACTCCACTACCCCCTCCTCCTGCATCCCACTACCCTCTCCTCCTACACACCACTACCCCGTCCTCCTACACTCCACTACCTTCTCCTCCTACACACTACTACACCCCTCATTCTTCACACCACTACCCTTCCTCCTACTCTCCACTACCCCCTTTTCCTTTCTACTTATTATGTAGAAGAAATCTTCTACATAATAAGTAACTACAAATAAATCCTAAATCATGAGGATAACAATGGAAATTATCAGCTAATATCTGAGCAATTTATGTTCAACACTGTAAAATTTTCTCGGGAGAAAATACTGAAATTAATGATCTATTTAGATGGTAAATTTACTTAAGAGACACGTACGGGATTGTATTATTTTACATTCGGCCAAACGACTGCTAGTCTAAATGTTAACTGTGGCCACATGATAACAAACAGATAAACCTAGCTGCCGAGTCGCGTGTCCGTTGATGTGGAGACTTGAGCAATTCTTCTACCTCCAGCTGCTGCTTGAAAGGCGTTAACTTTGGAATTGCAGATATGCTAGTCTGGAACACGGCTATTGTGCCAAATAACATGGCACCGCTCTACTGGTCGTGGGAGTGAAATAATTAGGTCAAAACATAGCTCTGCTACACGCTGTCAATGGCGTCCGAGTCGTGCTCTCTCGTTCTCTTGTGTCTAGTGACGCTCTCCCGTCTTCCTCCTCTTCCTTATTGCACATGCTTGGCTCTCGATAGACATCTCGAGCATAAATGAATATATATATATCGCAATTGACTAAGAAAGGAAGAGGTAATGACGAGTATTAATATCACATTAAATTTTTCTGTGATAAAATAGAATTTCTCGTAACATAAATTTATTTATTAAAGTTATGTAACCAATCGAGAAAATTAAAGAAAAATAATTTACATCAAAGTAATTTCCTCTAGAATGTTTAATATTAATTAAATAAGGGAGTTCCAGTAAGTAGTAGTATACTACGAAATTAAACTTATTAGTAAGTTACTATTTTTAGTAAAGGAAATGATAAACTGGACTCTGGTTATAAATCCCACTAAATGTGGAGAGAATTCATGTTACTGCCTGTCGTTCCTCACGTCGTCATTCTGACTAGGAAGAATTTGGCAGTGAATAAATCATGATAATGATTAAATCTACAAGTTAGTAATTTTAGTAACTACTTATGGTTAATACAAAGGTTGCATAAAATACAAAGATGTATAAAACTGTTGGTTATTTCCAACATAACTCCGGGGAGAGAAAACTCAGGTCGTAGTTCAGGTATTAGTACTAACGTACACCTGTTTCTCTATCCTGAAGTTATATTCATGGGTTAGTAGGTTAGTACGCACCTAACGAATGTCCCGAATCTGTGGTAGATGACTAAGTCAACATGGGGACGTAAATAAACATTAAAAATTATTGAATAATTCCTTCATAAGAGACAGAAGGATATTAACAAAATAAATTATGAATAATTGATTCATTTAAGATTAATGAGACCTCATCAATACAGTGAGGCTACTGTCCAGGGTCACTATGAATCGTAACTAATTACTGGACATCAACTCATCACTGCATCAGCATGACCACCTCAAGTTTAAATGATAAGTTATCTACTCTTGAATAGAATCAAAATATTGTTTAAGCTTCTGTTTGCAGTTCTGAGCAGCGACTCTTGATGGTCTTGTGCTCGGTTGAGTAGAATCATTGTTCTCTGAAACTTGGGTTATAGGTATATCTGTACAACACTCGTGTTCTGCTAACTCTAAAGGTACTAATTTCTCTAGTGTTTTCTAGGTAGTAGTGCCTCGACACTGAACTTTAACAACTCGTAAAATAACATGGCGGTCAGGATGGATGTCAACAATTTTACCTATAGGCCAATCTGACCTGGGTCCATCACTGTCTGCTAGGACAAGATCACCTGGTTTAAGTTGAACTTTATTGTATGGGCTTGCAGCTCCATAATGATATTCTCTTAAAGCAGTTAAATATTCACGTGTCCAGACCTCATTCCATTTCTCTATTACTCTAGAAAGGTGTCTATAACTCTCCACCAAGTCACTTGCTTTGACACACGAAGGGTCAGCTGGATCCTCGTCTCCTAGAGATATTAGAGGGTTCAGAAGACCACCATGATTCAAATGAGAGGGACTTAGGGGTTTTCTTTGGGAGGAATCTTCTGTTAAGTTGGTTAGAGGTCTGTTGTTGATTCGCGCTTCAATTTCCACGACAAGGGTCTATAACTCGGTGAGATTAATTTTCTGCCGGTGTAAGGTTTTTCTTAGGCATTTCTTAACAGTTCCCACCATTCTTTCGTAAAAACCGTCGTGCCATGTTGCTCTTGGAGGAATAAATTTCCAATAGCATTGTCTCTGTTTGAGCACAGAGTGTACTTCTGGATTTTTCCATATTTCTTGTAAGCAAGCTTCTCCTGCCACGAAGTTAGATCCATTATCTGAGATCATTAATTTTGGGCAAGATCTTCGTGCAGCAAATCTGCGAAAGGCTTGCAGAAAGGCTTCTGCACTCATGTCAGAAGTGACTTCTAAATGTACTCCGCGTGTGGTAGCACACATAAAAAGGCAAATGTAGGCTTTCACTGGAATCTTTTCCGGTGTGCCTGTTAATATTAGTGCTCCTGTATAATCGACACCTGTGGTTTCAAAGGGACGAAGGTGGACGACTCGCTCCTTAGGTAGGGGCGGTGGCCCTGCATAAGGACACACTCGAGCATCATATCTCTTGCAGATTACACAAGACTTGATTAAAGATTTGACAGTTTGGCGACCTTGGGGAAGCCAAAAACGTTGTCTGATTTCAGTAAGAGTATCTAATACTCCACCATGCAATGTATTATGCTCATGGTAATATAAAACTATGAGTTTAGTAATGATGTGGTGACGTGGAAGTATAGGATTCTTCGTATCTAAATTTATTTCTGCGTGAAGCAGACGTCCGCCGCATCTCAAGATGTTATAGTTGTCTGAGTCAAGCCATATACCCAGAGACTTACTCAACCTTTCTGGGAGATGTTCATATTCCTTCCCATAAGTCTCTTGTTGAGCTTGTTTGACCCAATATTTGATGGAATTAGGAAATCGATACTTGATTCCCATCTTGTTGATGAAATCAAATACCATTTCTGTAACTCTTAGTAATTTACTTAAATTGGAGTATCGGTGAGGATTGATAGCTTAAATTCGAGGGGGTTCTGGATCCACAACAGGGGTAGAGATATTGGTCACAATGACTTGCGGCTTCTGTTGGGGCCACTGACCACTAACTAGCCATTGGGGTCCATTAAACCACATCTCGGTTTTAACTAATTGCTTTAAAGTCAAACCTCTGGATAAATAGTCAGCTGGATTGTCCTTGGTTGGGACATGTCTTAATTTATAACCAGCAGACAATTCTCGAATTTCCCTTACTCGATTGCTGACATAGGGAGTTTTGTTGTTGTCGTTTTTTACCCACTGCAATACTGCCTCATTGTCTGACCACACTATTATTTCACCAAGGTGAACATTACTGAGGGTTTTGATCAGGCAATGAGCCAGTCTTACACCTACTAATAAGGCAGTTAATTCCATTTGGGGTAGTGACCTCCTTTTAATCGGGGCTACCCTTGCCTTTGATGTAAGCAAAAATGATTGTTGAGTATTAACTAGATAGGCTACTGATCCATACGCTTTGCCTGAAGCATCGCAGAATACATGTAAATTTGTAGGTAAATTTAGTCCTAAGGTATTTCGGGGAAACTGGAGAATACTAAGTTTGTTGTAATCAGGAATCAACTGCTGCCATTTTTCTTGGAGATCCTCCGGCAACGTTTCATCCCACCTCAAATTCCTTTGCCAGCACTCCTGCATAAGAAGTTTACCCTTAATTAGAATAGGACTGAATAGGCCTAAAGGGTCAAATGGCTTGCTGACATGGGAGAGTAGTTTTCTCATGGTTAGAGGTGAATGATTGAAATCCACCGACTTGATATTCAATTTGTCTGTAGAAGTATTCCACTCCATACCTAAGACTTTCAATTTGTGAGGTACCTTATAATCAGGGAATTCTTCCTCGATTATTTGGTTGAGTTGTTTATTATTGGAGACCCACGACTGTACATAAGAACATAAGAACATAAGAACAAAGGTAACTGCAGAAGGCCTATTGGCCCATACGAGGCAGCTCCTATTCTATAACCACCCAATCCCACTCATATACTTGTCCAACCCGTGCTTGAAACAATCGAGGGACCCCACCTCCACAATGTTACGCGGCAATTGGTTCCACAAATCAACAACCCTGTTACTGAACCAGTATTTACCCAAGTCTTTCCTAAATCTAAACTTATCCAATTTATATCCATTGTTTCGTGTTCTGTCCTGTGTTGATACTTTTAATACCCTATTAATATCCCCCCGGTTATGTCCATTCATCCACTTGTAAACCTCTATCATGTCACCCCTAACTCTTCGCCTTTCCAGTGAATGCAACTTAAGCTTTGTTAATCTTTCTTCATATGAAAGATTTCTAATTTGGGGAATTAACTTAGTCATCCTACGCTGGACACGTTCAAGTGAATTTATATCCATTCTATAATATGGCGACCAAAACTGAACTGCATAATCTAAATGGGGCCTAACTAGAGCAAGATATAGCTTGAGAACCACACCAGGTGTCTTGTTACTAACGCTGCGATTAATAAATCCAAGTGTCCGATTTGCCTTATTACGAACATTTATGCATTGATCCTTTTGTTTTAAATTCTTACTAATCATAACTCCCAGATCCCTTTCGCAATCCGACTTCGCAATCACAACACCATCTAGCTCGTATCTTGTAACTCTATCATCATTACCTAACCTCAGAACTTTACATTTATCAGCATTAAACTGCATCTGCCAATCCTTTGACCATTTCAAAACCCTATCTAGATCAACTTGAAGTGATAGTGAGTCCTCCTCCGAATTAATTTCCCTACCGATTTTCGTATCATCGGCAAATTTGCAAATGTTGCTACTCAAACCTGAATCTAAATCATTTATATATATTATAAACAACAGAGGTCCCAGGACAGAGCCTTGAGGCACTCCACTTACAACATTTTCCCACTCTGACTTGATTCCATTTATACTAACTCTCTGTTTCCTTTGGTATAGCCATGCCCTAATCCAGCTTAATATAGCACCCCCAATACCATGAGACTCTATTTTTTTAATCAGTCTTTCATGTGGCACTGTATCAAAAGCTTTGCTAAAGTCAAGGTATACAACATCGCAATCCTTACCACTATCAACTGCCTCAACAATGCTAGAATAAAAAGATAACAAATTTGTTAAACATGAACGGCCATTTATAAAACCATGTTGCGACTCAATTATTAATTTATGTTTTTCAAGATGAAGACGAATTTTATTTGCTATTATAGATTCGAGTAACTTTCCCACAATAGACGTTAGGCTAATTGGTCGATAGTTAGACGCAAGTGATCTATCTCCTTTCTTAAAAACTGGTATCACATTAGCAACTTTCCAAAACTCTGGCACTCTGCCTGACTCTATTGATTTATTAAATATGGTTGACAGTGGGTCACAAAGCTCCTCTTTGCATTCTTTAAGCACCCTAGCAAACACTTCATCCGGCCCTGGGGATTTGTTTGGTTTGAGTTTTACTATTTGTTTAAGAACATCCTCCCTGGTAACTGCTAAACTCGTCAACCTGTCCTCGTCCCCACCCACATAGACTTGTTCGGCTGAAGGCATATTGTTAAGTTCCTCTTTAGTAAATACAGATACAAAATATTTATTAAAAATACTACTCATCTCTTCATCACTATCTGTTATTTGACCTGTCTCAGTTTTTAATGGACCTATCCTTTCCCTAGTCTTAGTACGATATAACTGAAAAAACCCTTTAGGATTTGTCTTTGCTTGCCCTGCTATGCGAACTTCATAGTTTCTTTTTGCTTTCCTTATCTCTTTTTTAACATTTCTAACCAGTTGTACGAATTCCTGTTCTAAAGTGACCTCCCCATTTTTAATCCTTTTGTACCAAGCTCTCTTTTTACCTATAAGGTTCTTCAAATTCTTTGTTATCCACTTTGTAGGGGCATGTTAGCTCCCAACAGTTCACGATTAGCCTCATCGTAGATTTCCACTAGTTTTTTCTCATCATTAGTGGTTCCTTGAAAATTGTCAACGTATAAATTGTTGCTAATCTCAGTCTTGTAGGGGCTATTAGACTTCTTAAGATGTGTATCCAGAGTAGCCTGGAGTAAGAATGGGGAAGATGTCGCTCCAAACAGTACTGAGGCAAATCTATAAGTAATTATTTCGCTGTTAGGATCCTGTGGATCTTTCACCCAGAGAAATTGAGTAAAATCACGATCCGTCTCTTGTAAGCCAACTCTTAAAAAGGCCTTACTAATGTCGGCCGTATAGGCAAAAACACCAGAGCGAAATCGTAATAAGACATCTTGTAGTCTTTGGGTTAAGCTAGGCCCAGTTTGTAGACAATCATTTAGTGACACGCTGCCTGCCTTTAATTTGGCACTACAATTTAATACAATCCTAATTGGTGTTGTAACTGAATCTTTCAGGACAGCATGATGTGCAAATAATGGCCTGTCTTATGGTTGTCTTCTTCAACAACTTCTAAAAATTTGTTAGCAAGTTGCTGCTGTTTTAAAGCATGATACAGTTGCAATTTATCTGGCTGCTTCCGTAGCCTAGCTAATTGAGAATTTAATTGGGTTGAGGCCATGAAATAATTTACTGGAAGCTGTGGGTGGTTCAGCTTCCATGGGAGTCTCGCCCAATATTGATTATCTTGGAAAATCACAGTATCAAAATATTGTTGATACGTCTATGTGTCATCTGGACTGGGTTGATCAGGGACTATGCCTAAGGCGTCCAAATCCTATAATTTGTGAACAGGGGGATTGGACTCATCATCCTCAGTTTCGTCTCTGTCATGAAGTGGTGACTGCTCTAGGCCTAGTCATGCCACTATTGAATTAGTTGGTTGATTACTAGTAGATTTAGAATGTTGTTGGATCAACACCGGTCCTGTGAGTAGTTTACCCCAGCTGACAGCAACAAGTTTACACCTCGTTGCCTGGTGCATCCAGTAATAAATTTATAATAAAAGTCAGCTCCAATAAGAATACCTACATCGTTGAGATAGTCTGTACTTATTTTATGATCCGCTAGCCTAATACCGCTGCGTTTAAGAAATTTGACTGTTTGAGCAAGACCTGTAACATGTAAATCTGAGGGGATCTTGTCAACGACTATGGCTTGAATTGGACTGGTGCAGCCTCCTAAACGTACCAAGACTTTAACAACCTGGTAGTCACGAGGTCCACTATTGGTTAGAAATCCAGAGATATTCAAATTTACTCGAGCAATAGGCTTCAGTTTCAACTGATCAACTAGCTGTTGAAAAATAAAGGTTTTCTGTGAACCTTGGTCAAAGAGACCACGAGTGGTAATTTTAGATCTCTTATTGATTAATTTTAATTGAGCTGTTGGTAACGTAGTTGTGTTATTCGACTCTGTTGCAAGTACACTTAAGTCTTGATGCACCTTGCAATACTGTACAGAAGTAAATTTTGTAGTCTTCTTATGAGGATTGGTTGATCTTGATTGATCACTACCACACAAGGAATAATGGTGTCTACCCTTGTGGCACTTGTTGCACATACGTAAGGACACAGTACAGTTATTGGGGTCATGAGGACCCGTGCACCTTGTGCATCTGTGTAATTCTTGCAAACGATGAATTCGGGTGTTATGGTCTGGATAAGTACTACACTTATAAGTAAGGTGTTCATTATTGCAGAACAAACACTTCTTCACTGTGAGAGAAGTCGTAGGAGTGGTGCTTACTACAGGGTTTATAGGGTTCACTGTGTATGTACCTACATTTCCAGATTTCCATTTCGGAGATGATTTATTGAAATCTGGTTTTACTACAGTAGTTGCAGTACGTTGGGTTTATGATGAGAGTTAGTAGAGAAGTTTGAAACACTCTTCCCATCTTGGTTGGCTCTTTGTCTTTCGACTAGGGTATGTAAACCTTCTGTAATTTCATTCAGGGTCAGAGAGGTTTTATTGTATATAGTACACAATTTATCTAAAGT